TTTCTCCAATATGGGATTGCAATTGCAATTCTCCTTCTTTTATAAATAATCCTAAGAATTCTATTTCTGTTTTATCTATCTCGCCGTTAGAGATTTACTTTCTTCTGTAAGCATGATTTGCCAAAACCCTGACTTACAATCAAATTTTGAAAATATCTTTTTGTTCTGTACTTGTTTAATAAGGGTATCCTTATTTGGCAAGTAGTATCCATCAAACTTGGTAACTTCATTTAATTTTTTGTAGTTTATTACAATTCTGGCTTTTCTTCTTTTTATCTCATTGTGTTTTCTAACCATAAAGGCTGGACTGCTATGTGGCCTTTTACTTGGCCTAATCAATCTGGCTTCTAGCAATTCTTTTATCTGATTTTTAAATTCTTTTTGATCATCAACACTATATTTCATAGGTTTGACCCTTACTATAGTATCTGGATTAATTAATTCTATCTTTGCCTTTACTTTATCTGTATTCCATTTTTCTAATGGATATTCAGAATATGTTTCAGAGATTTCTTTTTTCAATTTTTCTAACCTATTTTCTGTTGTCATTTTTAAGACTGTAACTGATTTAAATTTTTCTGTACTCCAACATCCACCACGCTGGGTTGAAGAACTCTGATGGTTTATATCGTTATATGCAATTGTAATAGCTTTATTTATTTTTGGTGTAAATATTTTATGTGCACAAGGTGTTGTGAACATATACTTATCAATATATTGTGTAAATGGTGCATATTTTAATAGGAAATTTTGTCCTAATAAAATATCACATCCTATTGTGGTTGACATATATATTGTATCAACAAATACTTCTCTAAAAGAAATTAGAAAAGGTACTTGAGTAGCATACTTGCTGTATATTACCTTATTTCCACCTGCTGTTGTAGCAGTTACTACTTTCTTTGAATTATATTTTCAGTATTCAGATGGCAGTACATTTGGTAAGCAAAGGCTTATTGTACTTCCTGTATCTAAGTAAGCGTGAAATTTAATTCTACAATAATCTTTTATATTGAGTATAATTTCAATATATGGACTCATGGGATTAGTACTTATTATTCTTTCCATGATAACAATGATTTCATATTTTTATCTATTCTTGGAATGATAATTGGATTATCGTCAACTGTTATTTTCAAATATCATTGGCAGATTTTATAAGGACTATATTTCTCAAGAAAGTTCATTCCTAGTAGAATAGGTGAACAATCTACTCCATATAATTCATCTTTATATAGAATTATTTCTTTGGTATATTCTTTCTGATCCTCTCCTACAAATATAAGAGGAAATTTAACATATTTTCTTATTTCAAGATTATTTCCTAAATAATCCTTAAATATATATGGTTCTGGTATCTCAAAGTCTATTAGATGATTAACAAACTTGGCATTTACATGACTTTCATCTGCTCCAGTATCTATAAGGACGAGAAGATTTTTCTTAAATCCTTCTTGGTTTACATATCTTGTCTTAATGTAATATTGTGAACTTGATGGTTCAGTAATACTTGGATTTTTAAGTTTGCTTATCCTAGAGTCTTGTCTAGAGGGAAATCTTGCAATAAGATTGTCTCCTTCTAAGCTGACACTATTTCTTCTTATTAATTTTCCTTCAGAATTAATTTCTTTTGCTTGTTTATGAAAATCAAGCATTATCTGTTCTGGTATAGTTACTTCATGTTCTTGATATTTCCTAGGAGGTATGTATTGTGCTAATTCCTCAAAATCTTTATGTATTATTATGTTATCAGTTATTTTTCTTAAATTGTGATGATGGCTAGTACTAAAAGCAAAAATTGATTTTATGCTTATACTAATAGCCTTACTTCTTCGTAGCATCTTTAAATTTCCAATTCTATAATATAGATTGAAACTTTGATCAATATTTTCATCACTTAATGATATAGCATAATTTGGTTTTACTGTAAATATTATCTTTTGATAGACTAAATTTCCTACAACTGTTCCTAATAGAGCATCTATAGGATCTTGTAAGATTCTATTGTCCATACAGTATATTTCTATTGGTATATTCATACCTTCTCTAAAAAATCCTTTTACCATTATCTGGACTCCTCCTAATTCAATACATTTTAATTTGTTTCTTACATTTTCTGGGATTTTGGATAGTTTTTGTTTTACCCATTCTTTTGTGATTATAGGAATTCTTGCTTTTCCTATAGTATCTTCTATGTTGATAGACATTTCTTTATAATTCATACTTACAATTGTTTTATTTACCCTTGGTAAAATTCCTAAAAATCCTTGATGGAATACGTCTTTTTCCTGTAGATCTAATATTTTTTTAGTAATTCCTGCATATTTTTTAATATCAAAAGTAATCTCTTGATTAATACCTTCTATAGAATCTTCAACTTCTTCAGTTGTTTCTATTTCTATTTCTGATTGTTGTATCTCCTGATTCATATATACTATCTTTTCATAATCTTCTTCTGATGAAGATGTATCTAATTCATAAATACTACTACATTCACTGTTTAAATCTTCAAAATATTCAATTGTATCTATATCACTATCTTCTTGGAATTCTTCGTAAATTCTAAGAGTTTTTATATTTTGTTTATCTTTCTTTTTAGGACATTGGGGGGCAATATGTCCTTCTTCATTACAAATAAAATATCTATATTTTTTAATGTTTCTTGGTTTAAATTTCTTTTTCCAATTTCTTTTCTTGAAATATTTTTTATATGGTTTAAAATTCCTTTTATTGAATTTTTTATAGTTTTTGAATCTCCTTTTATATTTCTTATATGGTTTATATTTCTTCTTATGGCATCCAAATTGTTCAACTTGGCCATTATCTTTATAACAACATAATGAATTTTTTCTTATTTTATAAGCTTTCTTATTTTCTAGTGCTTCTCTACACCACATTCCTATCATTATTCTTGTAAATTCAATTCTACTTCCAAGACTATCTATTTCAACTCCTTCTTCTTTTCCTAGAGGTAGTAATTTCTCATATTCTTTTAGTAACTTGATTCCCCATGGGAATGGTAACTTGGTAAAATAAGACCTTAAAATAGGTTTATTTTTCTGATAGTCTCCTTGATTAAGTATATAGTATAATTTTTCAAATTTACATGTATATCTTTCTAACTCACACATATCACATATCTTTAGATTTTCCATTAAAATCATTCCTTGGTTATATTCATCTTGTTTTCTTTCTTCTTCATTAGAAGCATACCTATCTCCTAAGAATTCTGTTCTTAAGATTTTTTCAAATCTTTTTAATATTTCCTGTATGTTTTGTTCATTTAAAGTATTTCTATTATCTAATACATCAGTTCTATTTGTTCCATATTTTATCCTTCCTTTAATAATTTCTGGTAACTTTCTCCACCATTCAGACACAATTCCTTTGAATGTATGTTCTATAAATTCAAAAGCTGTATATGTTTCCCATTTGTTAAATTGTATAGCTAAATCTGTACTTTTTATCCATGTTTCAATAGCTTTATCTTTATCTACACAGTCTAAATCTAACCATACTCCTGTTGTGTGAATTGGTTCATTATAAGATTTCATTGGGTTTATTTCTTTTATGGATTGTTTTCTTACATTTTCAGTATATATTTTCTGTATTTTTCTATATTGATTAATATCAGCCTTATCAGGTATTGGGGTACCATAAGGATAATCTTGTTCTTCGTCACTACTAAATTCTATCTTTATATCATGACTTGAAGATGGATTAGTATTCATTTTTATATTTTCCATTTTTTCAGTTAATTCTTCTAACTGTTTTTTATATTCTTCATACTCTTCACCTGTTGATTCTAAGAATTTTTGTTCTATCTCTTCTACATTTGTAATCATATATTGTTTTTCTTCATGCTTTTTTCCTTTATTATTTTCTTTTTGTGTTGTCCTAAAATTTTGGGGTGGATTAATTATAATCTTGTCTTTTCCTCTAAGGTTTTTATCTAATAGGGCATTTCCTATTTGTAGATTATGTTCTAAATTCTCTAATCTTTTATGTATATCCCCAAAATTTTCATTTGTGGTATTCTTAGGTAAATAAGGATAACTAGGTTTTTTATGTTTTTCAACTTTTTTCAAAAATTCTTCAATTATGTTTTCTTCATCTACTATATTCATCATGATTTTTGGTTCGTAACATGGCTCTGATACAATCTCATCGGAGTGAGCAGCGGAGGGGTTATTATTTTTGAGCCAATTAAATTCTTCATAAGTATTTAAAATATCACAATAGAATTTATAAAATTCACTATTTTTTACCAATGTTTTTTCTTGAATAATTATATTTAATTTTTCAATTCTCTTTCTTAAATTAAGAATTAATTTATATATATCTTTTTCCATTTTGATTGCTTCATTATCTATAGAATCATTTTTATTTTTTAATTTTGGGTCTAAATATTCTATAAAGAAGTCTTTCAAATCTTCTTCCAAATAGATTATTTCGTTTTCTGTAGCAGTTTTTAGGTAAATAAAATTTTGTATAATATTTGGATCTAAATTTATTAAGGAATTTTGATCTATATTTCTTTGGGGACTTATTTGAAGGTTTTTAGACATTGTAGTGGCTTTGGTTGCAATTTCTCTTTTAAGAGTATTTTTGGAAAATTGATTGTTTGGAGACTAGTTTTCAAATGTTTTTATTTCTTAGACTAATTTGGAAAATCTTCCTTTTATTTAGGCTATTAAGCTGTATTTCCCCCTAACATTCTTTTTTCTTATAGTCAAATTCAGTGATAAATTGGGTGATTTTTAAAGTACAGTGACCTCGTAAACACTTTTTGCAAAGTTCAATAACCATATGACTAATTTAGAACAACTCAAAAAGTTTATTTTAAGTGTGTGAGCTGTATTATTTTGAAAAAAAAATGTATTTTGGATTAATGAATTGATGAGAATGTGTAGTTAAAAAATGAGGAAAAAATTTGAATTTACGTTTAATATTATTTTATTAAAAAATGCGTGATTAGAATGATATCAAACTTATCTTTAAGGAATTTGCTCCACTCTACCATTCATTAGCCATTCCACCATTTCACTTGCGTCCATTCCAATTGCACACGATCATCAAATCAAACCAAAGCAAAATTCAAAATCACTGGGACCTGAAAAAGAGGATAAAATATGGACGATTATACCAGAGAAATGATGGATTTGAAAACCCTGGTTACTCGTACACTCGAGAAGAAGGGTGTTCTTGCTAAGATCCGTGTTAGTATTTCCCCATCTTCTACCTTTTTTTTTTATTATTTTTTATTTTTTTATAACTGTGTTTCTTTATTGGTTTGTATTTATGTTGAAAGGAATGTGTAATGGATCGAGCCGCTTTTTGGAATGCAAGGGAATTTTGATTTCTGTAGGGAATTAGGGTTTTCTAGCCTTTGTTTTCCCTTGAAATTTATAGGGTTTTTCAATTCCGTGATGGTTTTGCATCTACGTAGTGTCGTACATTTCGTATTTTTCTATTGTACTTTTGTTTCCAAGTGTTAGCTTCTACTACTATTTGAATTTGGGAGAATTGAGAATTAAGAAATTTGAAGGCATGTACTGGTAGAATGTGTCTCGGTTAATTTTTTGGCTGGGTTTCCGTCTTCTTAACAGTCATGTGGAACAGTAAAGTATTGGCATGAATCAGGCTTGTCTCCTGGGTATTGACTCGGTTTGAATTGGGGGACATGGGACATTTCGTTAATTAGAAGGTAAAAAATTAGTGGTTCTACATTTTTCTAATTGTTTCTATCAATCTTTTTTCCTCAATTGGGTAAGACTTAAACATCATTAGAAAATTGTCGAAACACTCTTACCCAATTGAGGATAAAAGTGATTGATAGAACCAATTTTTATGTAGAATTGTGGAATACACGATTTCACTGAAACTTCACTTTGTGTGCATGTGTATACCATGTGTTTGTGTAAATATTTGAGGCTTGTAGCTTTTGGTTTTAGCTATAATTCATGCACTGTAAACAATATAAGGTATTGAAGACTTTTGGTTGATCAGTTTGATCATATTTATAACAAATAAAGTGCACTATTGACTGCTTTAGAGTGAAAAAAGAGTTTGTATTTATGATTGAAGATATCTGTTGCAATTGCATAAATATTTACTAGATTAAATCATATCACATAAGTTTCAATTTTTTATTGATTGCAAGATATGTATTTGAGTACACTGTTATGGTTATTATAGTAATTTTGACTTCTACTGAATGTTATAAGGCTCAAATGGTCTTATTTTTATTGTATATCTTTTTTCTTGTAATTTTAAATTTTTTTGAGCTTTAAATCAAAATATCTGCATTATCTAAACTATTCTGCAATGTGGTGTATTTGGGTGGTAGTTATCGCGGCTTAGAACTTGATTGTTGCTTGTAAGATTAAATTTTGTAACATTGGTATGGTATTGGGACGTTTTTTTATTTTATTTTACTTTATTTTTTGTGGTAGTTGTATCTTGGGAGTGTTGCTTGCACATGATTGATTCTACTATGCCTTGAAATTTTCATTTCGTTATAAAGTGCTATTCATTATTGTTGGGGTTTGTGCTGATGTAATCTAGAATATTAAGAAATAGTGCATTTAATGCTAGTGAGTAATTGTAAAACTGGCAAATTTTTCAAATTTGGATTGCTTATACATTTGATCGATTTTAGTACAGTATATTCTTCTTTTGGAAATGCATGTTAGTTAAATTTTATGTTAAACTTACTAAAAAATTAACCAGAATCTAAATCCAGACAACTGAAGTATTTTATGATAAAACTATAGATATATACGTATATTGTTACACCCAAAGCTTATTGTAGCCTGCCCATATGGTTGGTTTCAGGATTTAGATGTTTATTGAAATATTGATTGACCTTTCTGTTGTTCTTGCTTACTAGGCTGAGCTAAGAGCTAGTGTGTTTGAAGCGATTGAAGAGGAGGACAGGGTAATTGAGAAAGAAGAAGGTCTACCTCCTGCACTATTGGGTAACTGCAATGATCGTGCAAGACGACTTCATAACTCTCCTTCAGGTTTGATTTTCAATTTTCATTTTCTCTTTCGCGGCTCACTTTCAAAATGTGTAATCTTGCTGCACTAGCTCCAATAGAAAATATTCTTAGCCCCTATTTGATTGCCACTATTTGGGAAAAACAATGTTTTGAATAGTGATTTTCAGGGGAATGTATGGTTAAAAAGTAGGGAAACATTTTGGGTTCACATGCAGAAAATTTTAATTGTGTGAATGTGTGGTTGAAAATTAGTATGTAGAAAAAAAAATGTTTTCAAATAATGGTTTGTTAAACAAGGCTCAGTAATCTCAAAATTTATACACATGCTAGGTTATAATCTTTCCACTTTAGCCCTATAGGAAATGGTACTGCTGATGTTAAAATCTATACACACTGATATTGTATCTTCAATTGACTGTAGCATGGCTCTGCTTATCCAATTAGAGTTTTTATCTATTGACTAGAAGATATAGGTATATGCATTTCGAACATTTGTATTTGAATTATTAACACTTCAATGGTTCAATGGGTGCATGTCGAGTTTTTAGAAGTTGTTGAGTTATGTGGTTACTAATGCTAATTTACTTTATTTTACTTTTCTAACAATTTATTTGCTAACACAGGAAGGCTCCTAACTGCATTGATATGTGAATATTTGGATTGGGCTCAATTGAACCACACATTGAAAGTCTTCATGCCGGAGTGTAATTTGGTATTTTCTGCACATATTATTGCAATTTTGGAAAAAAAATTTGTCCTTTTATTATTTATTCTATATTCTTTTGTCAAATATCTGTGTGAAATTACAGCCAAAGGATTCCTGGAAATCGGAGTTGCAAGAATTTAGCATCAAGAATGGATATGATCTTGATAGGAATGGAGACAGCGCTCCTTTGCTTTTGGGAGTCCTCGAAGGCTTTCTGAAGTACGAGGTTGGATAAACTCACTGTTTTATATGTTAAACTCTGTAAAGTTGTTGACATATCACTTCAAGTTTAGTAATACTTCGTGTCATTTTTTTTGTGTTTGCTATTGTATGTCTATTCATTTAGTCCGCATGGAAAATTGATATTGTAATTTGCCCTCATATTAATTTTTAAGTCAATCAGTGATTTGGTTTAGACCATTAATAAGCATCTCTTGGAGAGGCCTGAGGTAAAGATGTTTAGTCTTGATATCACTGCGTAATCCCATCCATAACATTGCAGCTTTACTTTTCGACCTTTTTTTTGTCGAAGTGCTTATTCTTAGCTTATGTTAGTTTATTAGTAGTAGATGTATAAATTTTTTTAATATCTATGTTAAATTATTTAACCTGCATCTCAGTATTAAGAAGTACTGCTGGTGTGGACAACACCTAAATTTGCTAAAGTATTCTCTGTGCAAAATGTCGCAGGTTATGATAAATTGTTATAATAAGTACCCTTATTGCGTGATTTGAAATAACTCAATCACAAGAATGGAGTTTTTTGACGTGCAGTCCCAACATTTGACTTATGCAAGGCAACCTTCAGTTTTGAAGTACAGTTCCATCCATAAATTGAGTCCGAGTTAAATTCATGGAATAACAGTTTTGACCTCAAGTTCATAGAAGTAAAAAAAAAGAGGAGAATGGAGGCATTAAGTTGGTATGATTTTTCCAACATAAATTTATTGAGGAAAAAAGTGTGCTATATTTTAAGACCTCCATTGAAGACACTCAGCTTCAATTTTGAGACAAAGAGATTGAATTACAAGATTATGACTGCAGCTTGGAAGGGGGGGGGGGGGCCACGGGGGTCCACAATCTTAGGGACTTGATTCGAGCCTACCCCTATCTTGTGCAGCTTTCAATAGCTAGGTTTCACGCTCCTCCATATAACATCCGTAGCTTGAACAAGACAGCTACTTGTCACGGGCCTAGTTTCGTTACACCCGAACAAACTAGAACCGTGCGGCCTTAACGTTCTACAATTCCCGCACCTCACGAGGAAACGTTAAGTCAGCCTTTCCACGCCCACAAATAATTTAACCAAGAAGGCTAAATTATACCCACGTTGAGAAGAGAATTTTGAAGTAAAGGATATATGAAAAACAAGTAAGGATTGGGGAAACTTTCTTTATATAAATGAAAGGAAAAACTTTACAATCTCTCTAATGAATAAACTCTCTTCACTCTTATATTCTCTACACTTTCTAACCTCTACTCCATCCCATTTACATATGAGACTACCTCTCTATTTATAGAAAAACTTTAACCTCCTTAACCTTCCACTTTACAACTTGCGCTTGGTTGTCGCCACCTCGTGCTTGGTTGTTGCCAACTCATTCTTAGTTGTCTTCAAGTGGATGGTATTACAACTTGCATTGCAAGTTGTCGCCAACTCGTGCCTAGCTTGCATACAACTCGCGCCTAGCTTGCATACAACTCGCGCCTAGCTTGCACCGTTGATATTTATCCTTGCCAACTCGTGCTTAGCTTGCATACAACTCGTGCTTAGCTTGCAAGTGGCCCACAAGTGGACAAGTTGTGCAAGTTGCCCACTTGCATCCTCAAAATATCCGGCTGCAGGTTCAAGTATTTTTCCTCCCAAAATGGCTGGGTCGGGACTTAGAAAAACCTCATTAACGCCCTGAAAAACTGCACGATCTAGGTAGCCTGCATTCTGCCCCAAAATCATCTATGCATTCCCAGCCCGAGTTTACCTGCGACCTTTACCGAATCTACTTGCGTCCCCTATCGCAAGCTGTTCCGTCCTTTTGAAACGCGTTAACCGCGCTATCTTGCGATCGCTACCGGAACGGATCGAACGCGACCGCGTGAGGTGTAAATCACTCCCCCACTGAATTTGGCGACGCACTCATCGCCATATACCTCCGAAGCATAGACCTTATTTGCCATAAGTCTATCTCATTTTCCCACCTTGTGCCATGACATTCCCGTGTCATGCCAAGTCTCAAGTCATGATCTTGCGATCCGTGACAT